GCACTACCATTGATAACAACAAGACATGCAACTGCCGACAAAAGAACACATGCCCGCTCGACGGAAACTGCCTGCAACCATCAGTAATCTACCAAGCCTCCGTTACACGCAAAGACAACAACACGACAGAAACGTACATCGGACTCACAGAGAATGACTTCAAAACAAGATACAGAAACCACACCGCATCATTCCGCCACGCTAAACACAGAAACTCTACCGAACTCAGCAAGCACATCTGGACCCTCAAAGACAACAACATCGATCACTTTATTTCCTGGCGCATTCTCTCATCGCACTCACCGTATAACAGCTCAACTAAAAGATGTAACCTCTGCCTCAAAGAAAAATTCCTAATCATCTGCCGGCCCGAACTATCAACACTAAACAAACGTAATGAACTCGTGTCTTCATGCCGCCACAGAAGCAAAGCCCTCCTACGCAACAACTAAACTGTCAATTTCGCGCTGCATAAATTAGACTAGTTAGATCATGCAAATTATATTGTATATAAGCAATGGTAAAGTTTATTCTCATTAAATCCCCTGATGAGTGGGCGACCACGAAACAGGCTTGTAGGGATGAACTTGTAGTTTACTTGTCTTTTTCCTCCCACAATATATATATAATGTAAACGTAAACTTCTGTGTCGAATAAAGATACTGAAATAAATGAAAAACGAAAGTCCTCTTTCTCTTTTTCTTTCTCTTTGCTTTTGCGCTACGCGTTTTACCGCTGTTGCGGCTCTTCAGGCATAGCAAAGTGTATTTATTGACTTATTACGTCACAGATCTAATTGTAATTACAATGGTTATTGTAATTCGAAGCACGCGCGAGGAATTGGCGTAATTTCAAATCATTAAGAACGGGTTTATATTTAGAAATAAAAAATCTTTCTTTGTTCTTTCTCATGACCTCAGAAGGGCCGAGAATCTTGTAAAACGGAAAGATAAACTTTTTAGATTTGTTATTGAGTATATGTCTTCCTTCTCTCGAAGTTGTCCGTCCTCGTGTGTCACATTACTTCCTATGCATGTCTTGATCACAATCGTTTTACAGCGAAGTAAAAAGTTGATTTCGCCTATTTTGAATGATTTCTAATGGTTTACAATCCCAGAAGTTTATAATTTTCTCATATTCTTGAGTTAGCGTTCTGCAATTAAGTACTAAATAATTTCTTTTGAGTATGTTGAATGGCATTTGTATTTTCTCTTCCTGCCATAATCAGGTTCTCCACTTCTCTTTCCAAACTCTTGACCACCTAAAGCCTGATGGATTTGAGACACACTATTTGATTGCGCAACGTAACAAAAATCAAAATATATATGAAGGGACTGTTTGTACGCCACTTACCGCAAAAACGATATTGTCTTTCGGTCCCACACCATCTTCATTGTCCTGTTGGAGAAGGACCCAGGCGACGGTATACGCGTAAAATCCACTTAGAAAGGTGAACAAAGTCCTAGATTACCAGATCAAAGGACTGAAATTTTAGAATTTTCACGGAAAGCAACTTAAAATTACTGTCTCCCTATAACTTAGCTGGAAATATTCAACTTAGTGACAAGCCTATTTCCACATCCCATCAGCGCTCCTTGTTTCCAGTTCAAAGTTTCGAACCAACCATACACAGACTATAACCATAGGTACCCCAAGCTCGCAAGATGAACCTCCATAATAATGTAAATATTTTTATTTTACGCAACACCCGCACTATCAACTCTAAATTTGAACTACTTTGTTTGGAATTTTAACAATCCTTTCTCGCTTCTTTGTTTTTTCCTTGAAGTTTTCTAGATTAATTGATGGCCGTTCGTAGCTCGTTTAAATTTCCCCAAAAACCCTTTGAGCGAGCTTGGGTACAATAACTTAGACCAATTGGAGAAACTAAGCTGAAGTATCTCCTACGCCTAAACGTTACAACAAACCTCAGGGTGCTCAGCGCTGTCGCCTCCTCCACATTTTTAGCAACAGTTGTGATGAAGGCCAGATGATTGACCTCTACCATGTTGTAGGACAGCCCTTTCAATACCCCCAAAAAACTGTAATAAAAAGCTGGAAGCCAGGTCTGCGCTCTGCCATCACAAAGAAGGCAACGATTGAACAAAAGAGGGAGACTGATTGCCATCAAGCATGTTGCCATAAGGTGCCAAGATTTACGCCTTCCGATTTTTCTTGAAATGAAAGGAATATTGATACGATCACCGAGGTAACCGTTTAGCACTGAGAAAACACCTTCCGATAATAGGCTAGCGATTAATATTGTTGCCACTTGCGAAGCTGGAAGCTCTACTACTTTTAGCAAAAACAGGATTTGGAAGGATGTCAACAGCTGTCGGACGATGTCGTTGAATATGTTTCCCACAGCACAAGATAATCTTTCTCTTCTCCGCATTTTGAACTAAACAATATTCTTGTCGCACGATTGTTGCATGACCAAACTTAGTCTAACTCAAATCGTTAAGTCTGTGTGTCTAGTTTGTTAAATAACCATATTGGGCCTTTGAAACAATCAATTAGATCAATGTCACGTGTACCTATTGAAACCCAGTCAAGTACAGAGAACTGTCTCTGGTGAACAGGTATAAGTTGGTAATTGAGGTTTGGCACGGTCAGCAAGTCAGATATTTTTTTAACTACCTAAATTAAACGAAGCTTTTATCACGCAATTACTACGTAAATACCCCAATATTACAAATTTATATTCTATTGTTTTGGAATGGAAAAAAAGAGGGGTTTTTTTTTTGGGAAATTTCGATTGTTTCCTTTCAGTGTTGCTTTCCGTATTGGCTGGGAAAAATATGCAATTTTAATAGAGAAAAAACAATGGTGCGACTCGTGAATGAATCGCAATGCAGTACGCCAATCAGATTGCAAGGATCGCCAGGGATTTAAGTGGATGTAATAAGCGCAATTATTCAGCATACTCAGTCTGCCGATATTTGGACCCTTGGCATACTTGTTTAAGTCAATACTGTGTGTGTACCTTCTAGAAAGTCAGTGAGGTACACTTATGTGGAAAATCTAACCTTCACGCCTGCCAATGATCCTTTTCCTCGTTTTCGCTATTCAAGCTCGAGTTTCAAATAGTTTTATTGTTGATTGTCGCAGGATTTTTTCCTTGGGTATGTATCCTGTGCAGTGTGAACGCATTTATGCACATATTTAATCTGACAGAATTACTCAATCAAATCAGTTGGGTGTGAACATCTTTGGAAGTCAGTCATGTATGATGAATTGGGACAGGTAGTAAGACCTTGGGTTATAGCTAGCAATGTCAACAGTGGTTTTTAATACGTCAATGAACATTAAAAATAGAAAGCAGTTGGTAGAAAACCCATTCTTCTTACGACTGATTTTAATTCCACTCAACAATTAACCATGAAATCGAAAAGATTCAACATAGGAACAATGAAAAGGCTCTGATCCCCTCATTCGAGCTAATTTCTGCCAGCACCAGCTAACTTGAAACTTTATCAGGCTCGATCTTCTGGAACAATCAAACGAGCAATGACACTTGTGTTCGATTGTCTCATCGTGTTGAAACTGAAGCTTTGGGAAAACTTGGACTGAGGTTTTGCTGACTCGAGATAACCAAACATAAGTTACCCTTCAGATAGGCATAGGTTTTGAAACTTAGACAGGCGTAGTGAACTGGAACAGGCGAACCGTCAACAAAAGTTAACAAGGTCAATAAGTCGGATATGTTGTACTCGTTAGTGGTCCTTAAAATATAACGCGTTTTATTTTATCTTAAAACGGAGGGAAGGCGTATGAAGCTGCCACCCAGTTATCTTCATAGACAGTCGTCGTTTCGTCCCTGAAAATAATTTACTCATTAATCATTAAAAAATGCGGAGATAGAGTGAGTTACATAAACTCTTCATGTGAAAGCATTTTTCATAAATTCTAAACTAGAAAGCTGACAGAGAT